ATATATATATATATATATATATATATATATATATATATATATATATATATATATATATATATATATATATATATATATATATATATATACAGAGAAAAAGAAAGCAAGAGATATTTAAAGTTTGTCTACAAACTAAAATTAGGCAATATTAACTGCAATTAATTAATTAGTAATCAATAAGATTAAGCTAATCCTCATGTTTCCTCTCCTTTTTTATTTGTTCAGTAGTCAATATGATATTTGTGAGCTTCACTTGCTTGCTGAAAAAAATTGATAGGATAAGCGAGAAAAAAACAAATCAATTAGTATTGTTAATTACCAAAAATGATAAAAATATAATCAAATGAAGCACCCAACGTATAATATTGACTAAAAATAAAAGGAATAAATGAGGCAAATAAACGATATTTGATAAAAAGGCAGTAATTTCATCGCAAATGAAATGCAAAACATAATGGTCATGTTCTAAAGTAGTTAGTTAGGATAAACAAATTGTAAACATTGCGATAAACACTAATTGAAGTAAGAAAACTAAAAAACTAGTGAGAGAAAGAAGTTAATTAGAAAGACATACCCATATGAAGCACAGTGATTAAGCATAAATTTAATACAAAGAATTTGTTCTTTTCGGATGATTTGAAGAACTACCAGTAGCGAAATAAATAATGTTGCGCAATCAAAACATAAAAATAAAGAAATAGATGAAGTGAAATAAATAAATGTTGGAAATGACTAGAAAATTGAATAAATGAAAAAATTTTTAAAGGTTAATACAATCAAAATTGAAATCGAACAGTCGTACACACATTTCTACTGTTGCGCTTCCTTCGTTTTTAAAGTACATTTTTCTGTAAATCGCCTGAAAATTAAATTTTTAAGTCGACGAAAAAGCACGACCATAATGATAGCATGCTGTTGAGTTTGTGGTGAAATTGATGAATACATCAAATCTTCATACAAATCAAGAAGATTATTTATTAAACAGTCTAATTTAGGTTTGTAACTTCGGATGAAATTTCAGGTATTATGTTCAGAGCCAAACAAAATTCACCTGAGAATTTCAGGTAGCTCATCAGCTAAATAAATGAATTTGTGGTAAAAATTGCGGCTTGCATCGAATTCCTTCAGGGTCACATCACGCTTGGCAGCCAAAGCACTATCACGCAATTTACGAGCCAATTGCAGTGGGATGATGTGGTCATCTTCGGCATGTAATATTAACACTGGACAGTTCACCCTACAATGAACTCCTCAACTCAAGTTGACCAGAAACCTCAAATTTATCTACATATTAGATAGCAGGTCAAATGAAAGACATCATGTAAAATACAAACCTTTCTAGGATATTTATTATTCCTTAATATCTGACTTTTTTTTGATAAGTTCAACGCTTCATTTACATATTAGTTTTCTTTTTTTTTTTTTAATCTTTAGTCTTAAGTCAATTTCAAAAAAAAATGATGCAATCAACTGCTGTCCACATATGTAGTACTTAATTTCTATTAGAAAAGAATAACCTTGAACTTAAATACAACAGTTTTCAAATGATTCAATAACATATATTTCGAATTAAATATATTTCGTTAAAGTATACTTTGTGATGCGATAATCAGTGCTCATGTCCAGACCGGATCTGTCTAATGATTCTAATACCATTTTTTTAAACCAAGGCAACCAGCGGAATGGTATTGTATATGGATGATGAGTAACGGCATCATTAAGGTTATTGAATGGTGATTCTAGGATCAAGCCAGCTGGTGGTGATCCTTTTTCACTGAATTGCATTGCAGCTGCTGTAGCAATTCTGAAATAAATTAAATATGAAAGAATATTAAATTAAATCATCGCAACAGTGGTAAAAAAAATTACTCAAATTACTCAAAATTACCCAACAAAATTACTCAAAAATTAAAAAATTAGTACATGAACTGGACGCCTAAAGATTTGTGATTCTGCATATCAATTGATTAATGACATGAAGTGACCAAACAACAAACAAAATAACAGACAAAAGAAATATATTTGTATAAAAAATAATAAAATGTTTTCCCTCTTACCTTTTAAAGAAAAAATTCGAAATCAAGAAAGGATGTGATTTAGAGCAGGAAAATTATAATGTTATTTATCAAAAAGTTTTCGCGAAGAAAAAATCATCCTTACAAGTTCAAATAAAAGAAAATAAAAATGAACCATATCCTAACCAAATAAATAACATCCTAACATAACTGTGAAACATCTAGTTGCACAATTATAGTGGATTAGTTGACGAAAAACCATTTCGAAATCGGATTTAATTACTTGGCCAAGGTTATCTGCTAGAATGATAGACAAATACTGATGCATTTGACTTCAAGGAGTTGAACAATTTGTTCGAATAATGCAAAAAACATACGCTGTTCCCATCGAATGACCCCATAAATATATGTTATTTGAACTGGAATGACTTCTTGCATAGCGAAATATCTCCTTCGCATCCTCAATTAAACCATGTTCACTTGGTGAACCATTTGAATCGCCATATCCTGAAAAAAAAAATGCGTGTTTTTATTACTAATTTTCTCCAATCGATCGATAATCTTCACATCATTTTTTCGACATTGAACGCCACACTTTGTAAAAGCACCTAGAAGTCTTAATGCGAACAAGGACCTAATGATATGTCCGCTCGAAAGTCCTGGTTTTGGCAACTGAAGCAAGACTTATTGCTATTAAAGTGAAACCTCTTTCCCTCCCTACAATATCCTTTCATCTGATGGATTTTTACGTCTCTTTACACAATTAAAGCTTTATTTGGATTCAGGCATCGTTCAAAAATTTCATACTGAGTGGCAGAAATTTAGGAAAAAATCAAATGAATAATTTAGTCCTTTACATGATTGCAAAAATTAAGTAATGCAGAATGCAAGACAGCATAAATTTTCATAAAGATACTTTATGGAAAAACGAAGAAAAAGATATACCGCGATAATCTAAAGCTAGCACATGAAAACCCATATTAGCCAGTAAATTATACAATCCACAGCGACTTGACTGTGATCTACAAAACAATTGCAAGATAGAAAGTTGAACAATGATTTCAATCGTAAAAATTGAAAACTTCATTGAAAAAACTTTTTTTAAATAGTGTATGATAAATGACGAACCGGTCAAATGAATTGCCGTGTAAATAGATAATTACCGGATTATCTGACGTTGCCATCAGCCGTTCCATTTCTCTGGCATTTAATACTGGGTCTCGATAATTCACGGCTATCTCAGAAGGTAATATGTGCCTTAAATATTCGTGAGTTATCTTACTTGACTCTATCATCCGGACAAAATAACCTATGCAGTAATGATATATGGCTGATGATAATATGATAACTGGGCAAATTCCACTTCTTGAGTTAAGATTCATTAATTATCGCTTAAGCATGCAATAAATTGACTATTTCTCCGCTCGGAAATATTACGATGAAAAAACTTTAGAAAAAAACCACATTAAAAGAAACTATCACCAAAAAATATTTGAATCAATCGTTGTTTACATGAAATGTTTTAATTTGAAAAAAAAAACTAAATTACGGAACCACCATTAATTTCTTTATTTGAATTAAAGTCATTATGAAAACAAATTAATGCCTCACCAACATCCCAATCGTAAGCCATTTTCTCCCCGCAAATAAAAATTCCTTCCCAATGAATTAACACCATGATGTGTTAAATTTGCAAAATCTTGGAATGGTATCCTCACTGAAATTAGCAGTCAGTCAATTTGAATAAAAAATGCTAATAGATAAAGCAATGTAAATATTTGAGGAAAAGGATAATTTCGAGAAATGGAATATATAACATACAACAAGACATCTTGATAATATAAAACTATGCAATTTCTTACTTCTCCATGGATACCTCTCTGCCGCAAGAGAATAGCTTGCATGTCCTAATCAGGTTGCGATCTATGCTGGCAGTAGCAAATATTTCACGGAGGATCTCCCATCTCAGACAGGTTTCGACTGAAGGATCAGACGGATATATACATAGGCAAGATGGGCTCGTTAGCTTGCCGACAGCCGTCCTAGGAGAAAGACAACTCTAACTTCAAACCCAGCCCGATGGAGCTCGTTTACCCTGCAAAGCCACCATCTGAGAGAATACTCTAACAATACCTATATCCCGAGGACTTCACAATCACTATTCTAACTCGCCAGGTCCTGGCTGATGAACAACAGGAGTAAAGAGATGGGACCAGTTTCGCTTACGTTACGTCCTATCTAAAAAATCCATTTCACAGGATGGAAGGATACGTCTACCATTGTAGCATTAACAGCAAGCATAAGTAGAGTTCAAATCTTCGTTTGCACAGTATAGACACGATCCTACTTCTTATAAAATAATAATCACATGCGATAAATTAAATTGATAACCATATTAAGTAAAACTGAAAATTAAAAACATACCAAAATTCAGGAAAAGCATATGCTGTACACACCATGGGAAAAAGTGGATGAAAACAGGAACCAGCAAATATAATGAGATAGGCAAAAAACCGACTATATACCAACGGCTCAACATTCTAAATACAAATTAATGAATAATATGTATCCGCACTTTTTACCTTCTCTTTTATACAAACTTTTTTATCCATTAGCGAAAAATTGCTACTGAAAAAAACCAAGAGGAAGAAATTTCCTTGGTATTCTCTGATATGTGCTACCTGTCATTCAAGCAATTAAGCAATCACTAATTTGTTATTTAAGCAATTAATTATTTATCGCGGGACTGAAATGATATTTCAAGAAATATGCAAACAGAAAAAAGAAAATTTAGATGGAAAAAAGTAGTTAATCCTTGCAACAGAATTAATTTTAATAATCAAACTGACGAGTGGTAAATAAACTAACAGCGAACTGAGAACTTTTATACCATTAAACATATCTAACTAATTCGTAATTCTTTTTTTCTTTTTAAATAATATTGGCAATTGACCGCACTAAAAATGAGATCAGAGAACAACAGTAAATGATGCAGCAGTGAATTCAATTGTAACTATCGACTATCACCACTGCTATGGTTGTATCAATGCAGATGTGAGGATACTCTCATGCGAATCAGTAAATGAAGTAATCAGTAACTGGGAAATGAATAACAACTACAGTTCGGAGATAAGAAATGTGTAGAACATTCCCGTTCGTATATACTGCCAGCAAAAAGAAATATTTATTTAATCAGTAAACGATTTGTAAAATGATCGTAGAAAAGAATCTCAAAAAAAAAAGGAAAAACGGGATGGGGTAGGAAGGGGTAACAAAACAAATGCTAAACCACAAACAAGAATAAATAAAAACAAATTACAATTTTAGGAGGAAATTTTTATTCAGTGGAAACCTCACGAATACTGTTAGAGCTACACATGATAAATGCATGTGATAAACATAAAACAGCTTGGACGTGAGGTTTGCCCAAATATGTTACTTCCAATAAATCATAAAATTAGTAAAATACAATCAACGGAACATTTCACGAATTAAGCTAAAACTCTTAAAACATATTTTAATAATTTTTTATTATTTTTTTCTCGCAAAGATTTACGATGGTAAGCTTAAGTGGCTAGCACAATTGATTAGAGGAAGGGATATCCCAGACTGTATCGAAAATTTGCTTTAATTCACGAATAACGACTGCAGTTTTATTTTACAGAGAAGAATGTAAATACAAAAAAAAGAAAAAAAAACGATTTGTTTTTCTCCCGTATCGCCAATTCACGAAAAGCACTTTTTTTTATAAAGCGAAACAATTCTGTCAAATACTTTTGAAATTTCCAAATATCATTCGACCTCCATCACCGAATCAGAAGTACACAAACGGTGTACTGCATCTCTTTCCACTAACTGCAATAAATTAATGCTCAAAATTTAATCAGTAAAATAAAAAAATTCCCTTCAATTATATACTGATGGAATTTCTTAATGAACCATTTTTTACTTCTACTATAATAATAAATCCTGTTCTACTGACCCAACATACTGTTGCCATCTATGTTTTACAAGATTACATCTGTAAAAGATAAATAACATGCAACAGAAAAATCATCATCAGTAATTTACAAGACAAATCACGTCTTTTTTGACCATGACCGTCGAGTACTAAATTTATCTAGGATTAAAAGGATAATATCGATCCATAATTTCTGTGACAGAGCTACCACTAATCAAACTGGAACTTATTCAAGGATCATCGTTGTTGTGCATTGTATGCTAATTGATTCCATATGGTCAATCAATTTTACCTGTTTCGTTAAGCAATTATTTCTTCCTGTCTAACATAAATCCTTAAATACCAATAAATTATAATGAAAGTACTTATGAAAGACTACCTGATAAACGGCATTTATCTCACTTGAACTACGAATTATAGCAAGAAGGTCAGCAAACTGCTGTTGTCTGTCTGCTTCAGGAATACGCTAAAATGTACACTGAATAAGGAATACTGGTTAAGCAAAACCAAAAAAATAAATGAACACGGTGCTATGTAGTAAATGAAGAGTTACTTCAAGTAGTAATCAAAAGTACCACTAAATTTAAGTATTTAATAATACTGTGTCATGGAAGGTTTGATATTTAACGCTTATAAATGCGCAAAACATAGCAAGTAATATGCTTACCTGCAAAGCAACAACAACTCTAAGTGCCGCTCTTCGAAGTTCATCCTGTTTATCATTTTCCTGTTTCACTGCATTTGCCTTAGCTCTGGCTTGTATCTGAGTCTAAATGGTCGAATTATGTTGTATCAGTTTATTTTAACTATAAAAACAGTTCATGCTCGCTAATAACAAGCATAAAAGCTCGTTGACATACGTGTAGTTTGCTTTTTAGTCATGACTAAAAAGCATTATTTGTACGAAAAAAACTTATGTAGCAATTCATTCAAAGAAGAAATCATTGATATGAATACCAGGAAGATATCTAAGATAAAATATAACCTTC